ACCACTGTGTCACGGCAAAGGTAGGACTCATCCTGAAAGGCTGGGGTGCCTGGCCAGGTAGAGAGGTGTGGAACGGAAAGGTAAGGAGGGGAGGAAATCCAACTTCAGGGCCACTGAGTCTCGGCAGCAGTGCAGATTCTAGACAAGGCCCTCCCTCCTTATCGGACAGCTCTGTCCCTCACTCAACCATCTAAATCCCTGACACTGGCCCTACACACAGGTCTTTGCCTAGAAAAGTTTCTCAAGGTTGACTGCCTTCCCCAGATAGGTGTCCCCACCACCCTCACTCCAATACTACACAGGCAACTTCTCATAACTGTTTGGATGTGTCCCTAAAACTTGCTGGTGATAATGAGGGGGCAAGGTGGGGGATATTTGGGTCCTTGGAATACATCTTTCCATGGAACTGATGCTTGCACTCCCAGAAAAACCATTTAATACCCATGTACTTGCATCAAGCACTAACAAGTATAAGAGTGCTGATACCACAAAGCACTCCCTACTTCCCATCACCACAAAACAGAAAGATCTCATAAGCCTTCACACTCCCAGTGGGTTTAGCTGCTACAGACACTTCCCTCTGAGTCTTTGACCTTTAAGTCTCCAGCCTTAGCTGTTCTGCAGGCTGAATTTGCCCCAAACCTGGTCTCTTTCTCATTTTTCATTGCCTAATGGAGTGTCCATCTGGACTTTCCGATAGCGCTCATCTGTTCAAACCCACTGAGCTACATAGGACAGAACCCAGGGCCAGAGGGCCAGAAGGCCTGATTTTTGCCACCAGCAGCTGGGTGACCCTGGGTAGCTTTCTTTGGATATCATCATCCTCATGGGTAAAAATATAGGGAGCATGCGAGGAACTACCCAAGGCTCCCTCCTAACTCCAAAGGGAGTCAACCACCCTCTTCTCCCTTCCCCCTTCCAAGGAGCTCCTCCATGCTCTCTTGCTGCTAACAATTGCTTCATTCTTCTCCCAGCAAACTAGCACAAAATGTCAGTGTCCAGTTTGACTCTTTTCTCTCTCCCTCAAATCCAATCAGTTAATCCTGCAGGATTTCTTGGCAAACTCATTCACCTCTGTTCCCTCCTCTCCACCCGTTGACTTGATTTAGGTCCTAAAGTACAGCAATGGGTTATTCCAACAGTACATTCTCATAAACCCCTCCCTGTGTCTCCAACCTACCCTTCTTAGCCTAGAATCCTCCTGAAAGCACAGCCTTCACCTAGTCTCAAGGTCATCGACATTACATTAAATTCTTTAACTTCAGCTTTCAAGACGTTCCAGGGTCTCTCCCCAGCCTGAGACTCCAGCCTCACTTCTCCCAGAGTCCCCTCCCCACCCCACCCTATGACTACAGCTCTGCAGGTCACTCATCAGGCTTGTCCTAGTCTTGCAGGTTCTACTCTTGTTCCTTGCCTTATCTCTAGCACAAAACCATCTGCCTTTTTCCCTTTTACTGAAGTCAACACTGCAACACCAGCCAGCTCAAGGTTCTTGTTTGCCACAAACTCTTCCTCAATATCTGCTGAGTGTTGGGTGGAACATAAGGGCTGATGCAGCCCCAGGGCACCTCAGAGTTTGGAGAGAATGTGGACAGAGACATGCAAATGATGTGCATTAAGTACCAAAGCAGAGATCTGTACCGGATGCTATAGCAAAAATGACTTGGGGGTTGGGGAGGGAGAGGTGTTTCAAGACTCTGATCTGCCTCCTGAAGGATTAGCAAGAGTTCACGCATCTTGAAGAGCACAGACAAAAGGACTTCCCAGGAAGAGAAAACAGTGTATGCAAAGGCAGAGAGGCACAAAATGTAGAAATTGTTAAGCTACTCAGCTTGGGGAACAGTGGAGATGCAGCTGGTGAGTCTAATTATTGCCAGCCTCTGTGGAACTCTGAACGCCAAACAAGGATGGTATACTTTATCCCTTTCAGAGGCAAGCCTATCCCATTTTGTCTATACCTTCCAACTACAAATGTGTTATAGAAGCCAAGATCACTGCACAACATGGAACATGATGACCAAAAGCACTGTGCACAGTGAAAGCTGGGTTCTCATGTGCATAAATGTATTTGTGACTAAGAGAGGAAATCAAAGTAAGAATTATCAGGAAGCACCATAGTAAGGATTACCTAGGAGCACTAAATAGAAATCATAAATTTCCCGAAGATAAAGCTGAGAGTGAGCAGCATCCTGGAACTCTCAAAGCCTTGAGGAGATCTAGGTCTAAAGGTAAACAGACGCTCTAAGATGGCATCTCCTAGCAGACTATTCACTGCGTGAGAGAGAAGAATGGCCCTCATGAAGATCTGCAAGACCTGGCTTTCAAAGTCTATAAAGGATTCAGCCTCCCTTCTGGGACCAGCAGTGGATTCTGCAAAAACTGAGACACATAGGTGTCATCAAGTGTTGAAACCAAAGACTGATGCTAGGAAAACAAGTGTAACTGCTCTGAGGAAGGAGGAAGCAGGAAAAATAGTGACTCAGGAAAATACAAAGCTGCCAAGAGTTTCAGGCTAGCTGTGCCCACACCAAGTGATGACAGTGTGACATTTTTTTTTTTTTCCTGAGTGATACTTCTTGAATGAGGGTGCTCAGTCTGGGAACTTAATAAACCTTTAAGTTTATTGCCTCACCGTTTAAATGCATCAACGGTGCTGTTCATATTAGCTATTCCTTCCCATGTTTTGCAAAAGGGGATCCACCAGAAGATTTCAAGCAGAAGTGTCATGAACAAATCTATGTATCAGGAAGGAAATGTTTTTGATAGCCAAGTGAAAAACAGCTTCCAAATATTACCACAAATCTGACAGTCTAAAGGCTACGCCATTCCTTGTCCAAAGCGCAATTCTTTCAGGACTGTTCCTCCCTCCTCACTTCTCCATCTGGCCCCCTAGCCCATAGATTCTCTCTAGTCTCTCCTACCTGTATCCTCTCTGGGGTCCAGCACAGGCCCTAGTCACTTCTATCTTAATTGATCTTCCACTGGGCTTCTCCAACCCCAGGGTCTCTTACCCAGCAGTTTCTACTTGGCCTTCATCAGAATCACAGAGGAATTTGGGAAAAACATGCCAGACCTACTTAATCTGAGTAATTTAAAAGCTCCCTAGGCAATTCTGAGGCTCAGCCAGGTTTGCAAACTGTTTTGTTTTTTTTTAATCCTAGCTTTAGATAAATGAAGGGGCTGCGCTGCTGAGAACTTCTGAGAAATGCAGAATGTCAGGTTCCACCCCGACCTGGGAATCAGAATTTGCATTTGAACAAGATCCCCAGGTGACTCTTAAGCTTGTTAAAAGTTGAAAAGCACTGCTACCAAGTGTTGCCAGATCATTCATTCCACAAATATTTACTGGATTTTCTCCACTGGGCTAGAGGTTTGGGAGGCTGAAAGGGTCAAGGGGCAAGGTCCCAGACTTTAAATTCAGAGAACCATCAATCAATCTCCTGCTTAAAAGCCATTATGGAGGCTCCTGATTTCAAAGCCCAGACTTCTCCACCTGGCCTTCAGGGCCTGCTGGGAACAGGTTTCTTCCTCATCACCAGCTTTATTGTCTCTCACTTGTCACTGGAGCCAAGCTGGGCCACTTGCCACTTCTCAGGCTATGAAGTGCTTGCCTGCCTACACAGTTCTCACAGGGCAGGTCACACTCTACCTACCTCTGCCTGGAGAAATCCTTCAAGGTCCATCATGCACGTGTCACCCCCTTCCTGAAATTATCCCAGGTTTTACGCAGTCAGATGAAAGATAAATTCCCACAATGCTTTGCTCTTACCTCCTTCATAGTATTTATTTCATTCTACTTGTCAGGCACCTGTAGCACATAGCTGAACCAGTAAAGAGACCATGATGCTGTTTATCTCTGTAGTAGCAATAGGCTAATAACTGGCACATCACTGAATCTCAAGCAATACTAACAATAATGTATTAAGTAAAAATTATGAATGAGTGTAGTAAAAGTTCACCAGTCCCCCTCATCTCCCACTTCAAAGTCATCTAAATATGAATTTAAGCAGATTACATACAGACTACCTAAGCCTCAAGTAAAAAAGAAATAACCTCTAAATCAAGTATTTTTTTTCATGTAGTACAAATAACAATAAAAGACTGAACACGCAGAAGATGAACTTTGTGTACAGCCAACTGCCGTTGTTGGGCATTAAACTTCATAGAATGCAACATCAAATTTGGTAACATTGCAGATTTGTAGTATAATTGATTAAGAAACTGGGAGAAAGAGATATGAGACAGGAAGTGAACAAAAATATACAAAGGGAGACATATCTATACTAAACATCCAGCTGCTCTAAAAGTAAAAATACTCCGGATTTGTTTTTTTAAGAGGACTAAAAGCTGGCTAGAGTGCCTGTTTTGATCTTATGCACATTTTGGAAGCCCTAGTCTTTAAATATATAATCTTATTTTCATCTGAGGAACAACTGAAGGTCTGGAGTCAGGATGTCATGAAGGAGATAAACCCTCTTTCAAATAGAACCATCCCCGTCTTGCCATATATTGGGACGCAGTGGCTTGAGGTTTGGAAAAGCATGTTGCATTTTTCCAATTACAGTACAGAGTTGATTTCAGCTAAGGCGTTGTAGCTGGACGCACGCTCTGTGGAACACCGATCTGCTTGGGCAAAACGGACTGTAAGCTTCCCGACCACCTTGGGCTATCTCTAGACTACGCCGCTGCTCCAACAGACTGAGCAGAGCTCTGACACACTACACACAACTGGGATGACCGGCCACCCTGCGCATCTCCAGGCCATCCCGGCACCTGTAGGGGCGCGGACACTCCGTAGACTCCGGACAGGACTGGGAGGAGACGCGAAGCAAATCCCCAGGAGTTATATTCTCCCAATCTGGCAAGAGAAGGGGAGGAGGGTCCGCGCCCTCGCGTCTGGGACACACTCGGGGATCTCGGTTCCTAAGGCAATTCCCCTGCGGGGTCTCCCAGTTCAGCCTGCGCAGTGGGCCCGGGGGGCGTGGGGAGAACCCACTGACCTGAGTGCGGGGCTCCTCTCCGGACAGCTCAGGTGTGCGGGCCTTTCACTTGTCCCCCCCACCTCCGAACATGAGAGCCGAGAAACGAGCAGCAGGCTACTGACCCACCGACCAACTAACCGACCAACCAGCGGACCGACCGGCAGCGGCCGCGGCCGGAGCCCACGTGACGGGGGCGGGGACCCACGGGAGACTCGGGAGGCTTGTCCCGGAGCGCCCGCTCCCAGACCGCTCCCCCTTCCCCCGGGACCGCCCCTCTGCCACGCCCCCTCCCTCTAGGCTCCGTGGCAGCACGCTGGGACCCAACCGCCAAGAGTTCGAGTTCCTTAGCGACCTGACTCGCCAACCCCGCCCCTTCGGACCTGCTTAGCCCCCGCCGGTCCAGCCCCAGCCCCGCCCAGCCCCAGCTGCGGCACCGCCTCCTAAGCCGACTTTACCGTCCCCCTAAGCCCCGCCTCCCTCTGGCGGCCCCGCCCCTCGGAGCCCCACCCCTGCTCTTGTCACCTCCTTCTCCAGCACCCTTCCGGCCCCGGGTGACGCCTGGCGGTCCTCGGCTCCCCGTTCCCTGGGCTTCTCCGGCCCTTGAGCAGCACCGTTCCTTGGCCATAGGGAATAAAAGCGAAAAGCAGAAAGGGAACTTGTGTCGAGAATTGCAAAAAGAGATGTCATAGAAAGAATGTTTTAGAGGCAGTCCCAGCGCAGCAACCGTTGGGTGTGCCGACTTCTGGGCCCAGGCGATCTAGTTCAAATTGAGGTTGGCCTGAAGGCAATCTCACTTCTTGTCTCTGAGCGCCCCCAGTTCGGAAGACTGAGTCACCCTAGGATCTGGCCGCTCTCGAACCCCGCGACCTGGAGTGGAGGTCCCTCTAGCGGTCAGCGCCAATCAAAGGCGCCGGCACCCGTTCTTGTGAACAGCTGGGGACAGCAGTCCTGTCCTGTGCCCAGCATTTAGGCGGGGGTTCCACAGGCACAACAAAAGCTTTGCTGAGCATAGGAATGGACTGTAGGATCGGGGCAGGACTGGGCCTTTGGGAACCTAGTTCAAGGCCGTCCCCCGGTGTAGGGCGTGAATCCCCTTTGGTGGTACTGCTAGATTGTTGCCCTGTCTGGGCCCACAAGACTTGGTTGCTCAGTTCAGCGGATTAAAATCCCTGTGGGCCTCAGATGGCATCGACACCAAGGACTCTGGCATAGTCCCCAGTTCTGGCAGGAGTCACTACCTCCCTAACCTCAGTTTTTATCTACATTTCTACAGGCTGGATTGTTGATCAACTCCACAGGACACATCTTTTTTATATTATCCTGATGGTCTGAAATTACTAGTATGCCCAGAAGACTTGTACATGTGAACAAAACTTAAGCCACCCTGGCAAACATGAGACTCTAGTCACTGCAGGAACCTGGCCAGAGGCAGGCCAAGGGCAAAGTCAGCAGAGGAAGGCTGGGGCCCACAAGAGTTGTGTTACAACAGGACACTCTTCAGTTCTCTTTCACTTCCTTAAAATAGCAGCTCAGAGGCTTTTATAGAGGAGGCTGCCATGGTTCACACGAGTTCATGAGTGTTTCCAAATCCCACGTGTTATTACCCTAGTGGACCCGCAGTCCTCAGGAAATGCTAGTCTGTTCTTTAGAACTATACAATTACTTTTTAAAAATCATCTTTAAAAATGGTGTAAATCGCAGACATTGAAAATAAATTCTGGTTACCAAAAGGGAAAGGGGGGTGATGAATAAATTAGGAGTTTGGGATTAGCAGATACATACATATATATATATATATATATATGATAAACAAGGATTTACTGTATAGCACAGAGGACTATATTCAATATTTTGTAATAACCTATAATAAAAAGAATGTGAAAAAGAATATACTGCATCACTTTGCTGTACACCTGAAACTAATACAACATTGTATATCAACTATACTTCAATTTTTTAAAACTGGTGTAAATCACTGACTTTCCAGCTTATTCACACTTTGGGACCATTTTAGGGGAGGGGACTTAAAAATTACAGCACTGTCTGGTCCCCCCTCCAAAGGCTCTGATTGAATGGTCTGGGGGTATAGCTTGGCATCAGGATATTTAAAACTCCTCAGGTGATTCTTAGGTGCAATGAAGTTTAAGAACTACTGGTCTAGATCTTAGGAGCTTCAATCCTCAGTAAAATCCAGCAAGAGACCAGAACTGAAAAGTTCATCTGAAAGAAGCCCAAGAAGTGTCCACAGACCTACATGTTCGCCCCTGGCTCCCAGGAAACAATGTGCCCCGTTAACGGGGGCTTCCGAGAGAAAATGTCTTAACCTAAAAAGGTGATTCTAGCTGCAGACATTTAAGGCATGAGAGTGGGTTGTTAGTGGCAGGTGTGCCCTGCATAACTGTCAAAGCAAAGCATATCACAGATGAATGGTAGACAGCACATCACAGGCAGCCTCTCTGTGCCTCCAAAGGAACCGTGTATGCAGGATTTATGTGTAATCCCACTGATTAATTCCCCTGCTACCCTCATCTGTGAGACACATTCCTTTTCCCTGTGAAATAGGTAATGTTATTTTACCGATGGGGCAGCAAATGGCCCCCACTCCATGGAATGGGTAATATCACCACTTTTATTTATTCATACCTGCCTTATTCCACAGTGGATTTGAGCTCTCTGTATCACTCTGTTAGAACTGCGGGTAACTGTGCTATGTCCATGGGGTTAGCAATTCCATTCTGCCAAACAGCTACTCAAACGCTATGGGAAAGAAAAAGAAAAAAACCACCACCCCTCTCTTCACTGCCCATGGTCCCAACCTGGGCTTGGCAGAGTTGGAAAACAGCTGCAAACACACAGAGCAAATCCTCTCATGTGACCAACCTAGGAAGACAGGGGCCCCAGCACATGACACAGACTGGCACCACAGCCTGCACGCGTGACCCGAACCAGCCTGAGTGAACAAATGCATGGGAAAGAGTTGGAAGAGGCCCCTCCAGACAGGCCCAGGTGGTCTCTGTCCCCTGTGCCACGCGGCCCGCCTGCTGTGGCAGGGAGTCCCTTCCTTGCTATCTGGCATTCATCCAAATTTCAGAATACTTACTGAAGGCCTCAGTGGGTTGGGGATTGTTCACAGGAAATCCAGGCACAGGCAGCACTCCCTGAAACTTTTATGCTGAGGCTGTGTAGGCAAACAGAACCTAATGAGGTTTATTTGCTTAGTGTCACTTTTATTGTGTTTCAGGCAAGAAGAAGCAGGGGAAGGTAAGGCAAGATGAGTCTACAGGGGGGTCCTCACCCTTAGGCTGGTTTTCTGGAGGAAGTAGCTATTCAAAGGCCTATAGGAAGGTCTTGTGCAGGCATGAAATAGGTAAAGGGGCAGGCCATTATTTTTAGGCTGAAACAATTAACAAATTGCTTAGAAAAGGTTGGGTGAACAAACATATATTTGATGCTTCCTTGGACAAAGACAAGATTATGGGCTTTGCAGTATTTCCTAGCTCTTTCCTTTTGTAGCTTTGGTATTTGGAATGGCTCACCGAAATCCTCTGTCTATAAAGGCTTGTCCCGTTTATCTCATAAGGGTGAGATGAGTTCTAATACAGGTGCAGGCACTTTATAACTGGAAAATGGTATTCAAATGGTAGTATGTTCACTTTCTTATTACGACCACCTTGGTTGGTGTAGGGACAGTACTAGGGGAAATCAAAATTAAACATCAAAAAGAAATATTACTTTACACTATTGATACTATGTATAGAATAGATAACTAATGATAATATACTCTATAGCACAGGGAATTCTACTTAATGACTGTGGTGACCTGAACAGGAAGGAAGTCCAAGAGGGAGGAGACATGTGTGTATGCAGGGCTGATTCATTTTGCTATACAGTAGAAACCAACACAACATTGAAAGCAGCTATACTCGAATAAAAATTAATCCAAAAAAAATAGGACTTTAGTTGGGCAGTGAATAATAGAAGAATATCAATAGGCAACTGTCAAAGAGGAAAGAGCTTGGGCAAAGTCCAGAGGGGAGAAAAGCCAGGAGTATGAGGGCATGGCCTACATTTCTAATGGCTGAGAAGGTGAGGGTGGGGAGAGTTATTAAAGTACATGCTAAAATGCTTGTCTAAAAAGAAAAGGTTGGAAGTAAGCTGGATCAGGATGTGTTGTTGTGTTTTCATTTTCATTCATTTCTATGCATATTTTAATTTCTTTCTTTTTTTTTTTTTTTTGGATCAGGATGTGGAAGGCCTTGAGCACCAGGGCATTGGGATGGGTAATGGAAGTTCCTGAAAATTCCTGAATGACAGACTGTCATCTAAGCTCTTAGAAGATACTGAAGGCAGTACCATCTAGAAAAGGATGTGTGTCCATCCCCACTTGCAGCCCCCTCATCTCCCTGTGTGCCATTAGTGGGATGCTATTAATATATTAATACTATAGTATATTGCAGAGGGGCCCTGGCCCCCAATCCTGGAACACAGAATCCCTGGCCCACTGGAATGCATCACTGGAGAGGCTGCTTTCTCTTGGTCTGGAGTTTGTAAATGATCTGATTTCCATCATTCCAGGCATAGAGCTGCTTATCTCTGGGGTTGTAATGGATCATGGAGTGACTTCTCGGCCGCCTGGGAAAGAATAAGTTGGGCAGATTCTCTTCAATGATGGTGCCGAGAGGATCATAGACACAGGTGATGCGATGTGCACCCTGGCCTCCAGAACTGTAGACCACATAGAGGACCCCACACAAGAGGAATGAGGCTTCAGCATCCTGGCTTCTGCACGGAGTGTCCCATGAGTGTTCTACTCCCAGCGTGTCAGGCTCAATTTTCGTGAGAACCAAATGGCCGTGGATGCCTGGTCCTGAGTGGATGGCCCAGAGCCCGTGCTCATCCACAGCCAGGTCAATGTAAGTGGAAGGGGAGTGCTGGTAGGCCAGGGCTCTGCCTGCTCCTCCAAAGAGAAGCATCCGGTCTTCTACAATCCTCTTCTGCAGATTATATTTGATGATCTCATTGAGAGTCCCTTGGCTATGAAAAAACAGGAAACCTTTGTAGATCACTTGGCCTGTTCCCTGCCAGGAATGTGTTAGAATCAGCTTCCGGGGGGCTGGCTTGGTGCTATCTTCCATGAAGGCCCGTATATTGGCAAATTCCCAGACAGTGTTGTTTCTGGACCCAATGAAGACATAAACCTTTGGAGAGTCACTGACAGCATCTTTCATCCAAGAGCCATCTGTGCCCATCGTCTTCTTCACTATTTTCAGAGACTTTATGCCCATCAGCATATTGTCACAGCCTGGCCACAAAAGAGGAAAAGGAGAGGTTACTTTATTAACATATAAGATGTCTGCTTTTCTCACAGATAACTTTTTTTTCCTTCAGTGTCTAATATTAAATTATCACACAGGGATCAGTCAATGATTGTAGGATTCAATGAATCAAAGACTTTAAAGAGTAACTGAGTTTGTGAAGGGAGTTGCTGTCCAGTTATAAGAGCATTCATTAATCAAGTTTATCAAATCAAGATATAAATAACTATTTTCTGTGTCCTAGGCCCTATTCTGGAGAAGGAAATGGCAACCCACTCCAGTGTTCTTGCCTGGAGAATCCCACGGACAGAGGAGCCTGTTGGGCTGCTGTCTCTGGGGTCGCACAGAGTCGGACACGACTGAAGAGACTTAGCAGCAGCAGCAGCAGGCCCTGTTTACTCTCCACAGCACTTCGAGGTGACATACTGAGTATGGAACCACCTAACTCAGTTGTGTTTGCCAAGATTTTACTAGGTTTCGGCTGTATACTTAGCTTACAGTACTGTCTTAGAATAGTACTAAGTACTAAGGATAACAATTATAATATCAACCCTACAACTTGAGAAGATGACCTTCTAGGAAGGATTCTGGTTCTTAACCCTACTAGAATGTTGTTTTTATTGTTCAGTTGCTCAGTCGTGTCTGAATCTTTGAGACCCCATGGACTGCAGCATGCCAGACTTCCCTCCCGGTCCTTCACTATCTCACTAAATTTGAGTTTGCTCAAATTCATGTCCATTGACTCATTACTCATGTACTCATGAATGCGTGCGTGCCTTTAGTCAGCCGACTTTGGATACCAACAAAAAGCAAGATACTAAGCTAGGTGTTATGAGCTGGGGGTACAATGGGCTGGGGTACAATGATAAATTAGGCATGGTCCTTGCTTAATAGGTGCATGACTTTAGATATAAAGCTTAAAATGATTTTTCTTTCAAAAAAGAGGACAGAGAAAAGACATATAATTTGATACAGGGGAGAACCTGCCTTTGAGTTAGCCCTTGAAAGTCACCTTGAAGGACATTCTGAAAGGGGTGAGAAACTTTCCCAATAGTTAACAAAATTGCATTTGGGAAAGTCCTTCAAACTTAGTGAAGTAGTATAGAGTTTCATCCAGTATAAGCTAAATCCTTTGTGTATAAAACTAGATGCATAAAACAAACTAGTTGAAATCTGCTCTGTGCCTGGAACCTTGAGGGTGGAGCTAAGGAATATGGATTTAATTCTCCAGGAAGGTAGGGAGCTACTGAAGCTTTTGAATAAGAATGAAACATGGCTAAACTGTTCTACAAGACTAATTAAGCTGGTAGTCATGTGTACAATAGATACATGAGAAAGAGATTAAAATCAGGGAAACCAAGCAGAAGGTATTTCTGTAATCCAAACAGGATGAAAGGGTCTAAACTAGGTGGAGGAAGATGAAATAAAAAGAAGGGGCCTATATTTCTCTAGCTCCTCACTGCCACTCAGACTATTACTCTCTCAAAATTCCCTTCCTTCTTTGATCCTAGATCGATTCAAAGATCTGCCTCTGCCCTTGAGAGCTGTGTGTTGGTGGAGAAACTCTCACATTGGTGCCTACTAGTATCATTACACTAAGGGGTCTTCAACGTCAACTGAGCCCGAAATACTATACTGCTCTCCATGCTCAGCCCATCTTCCACATGGCGGCTATCTTAAATCCCTCCCTTTGCCCCACAACTAGCCCATCAATCCTTCATAATAACACCTTTGCAAACATAAAGACTATTAGACATGAACTTCCTCAACTTCCTGCTCCTCACTTACAGACTTTTTCTTTCACTCCTAACCTTGTTACCCTCCCACATATCTTAGAAGTGGCCACATCATTCCTCCTGTGAAGACTAATTAGTTCACCTGCACTCCTGTCTCATCCTTTCCTGCCTTCTAGATTTCCTCCATGAATGATTCCCCTTTCTATCTCAGATTTCTCCTTCACGACTTGTTCTTCAGCTTGTAAATATCAATTCTCTCACAATTAGACACTTTTTCAGCTTACTTCACTCTACCGTTCTATAGAACTAGATTCTCCTATAGTTTGCACTCTCTGCACCCATTTCTTCACCTCCCATTATTTCACTTCACCATAACTTCACAAAAATGACCCTTTATAACATGACCAGGGACGTCCTCACTGAAAACTTAAACCTTTTCTGTCTGTATCTTAGCTGACCTTTCTGTAGAATGGCAATATTGATTAGTTCCTCCTTCTTGAAGATTTTTTCCTCCCTCGATCTTTTAAAAAAAAAATATATATATATATATATATATTTACTTATTTCTATTATATTTTTTGGCTATGCTGGATCTTTGTTGCTGTGTGGGCTTTTCTCTGGAGGCAGCAAGTCGAGGCTACTCTCAAGTGGCAGTGCGTGAGCTCTAGGGCACACGGGCTTCAGTAGTTGGCGGCACATTAGCTCAGCAGTTCTGGGTCCTGGGCTCTAGAGCACAGGCTCAGTAACTGTGGTAAACAAGCCTAGTTGCCTCCTGGCATGTGGGATCTTCCTGGATCAGGGATCGAACCCCTGTTTAGCAGGCAGATTTTTTTTTACCACTGAACCACCAGAGAAGCCCTCCCTTGATCTCTGTGTTACCACAGAGACAAATGTCTGTGTTCATCAGGTGCCATTTCATTTTCCTCTTCTCCAGTCACACGTTCGAAGCCTCCTTTGTACATAAGCTGCACCCATTGATCTATGTCCTGTCCAATGGGATGTGGACAGAAGTGGTGTAAGCTTTCCTTTCCACCTGGCCCTTACATATGCTATCTTCAAGAACACCTCAGGGTCTTGGAATTCTCATGGTGAAAAAGAGAGAGATGTGGGTCAAGATTAGATAAATGCCAACTCGTCATTTTAGGAAAAGTGGGTCATCAGTTCCAGTCATGAGCTTGTTGCTGGGATGGCCCTTTTTAGACAGTCTGTTGTGAGGTGAGCAGTATCACAGAGGCAGGGTGTGGTGGCCTGACTAAAAGCATGAGAAATCCTGTAACTCTCCCTCAAATCGGGCCAAGGTCTGTATCACAGGTAGGAGAGGAAAAGTCTTAAGAAAAGCACAGAAAGTCTCTGGGTCTCCCTCACTGACTGCTATAGGGTGAGGTGGTGGAGTGACAGTCAAATGTATAACAGTCTCTTGAGGAGAACTGAACATCCCAAGGGCCTCCACAAATCCTTCCAAAAGCTTCAATATAAGAAACTGGATGTGCCAATGGGTTGTCATTTTGTTCTTAATAAATACCTAGGTTCTCCAGGCCAACTGGAGGCCAAATGGAGTCAGAGGAAAAGAAATATGGTGAAAGGAGAGAAAGTGGACACAAGGAGGAAAGATGTATGGCCAGAGAAGTCCCAAAGGTGGAGGTGAGTAAGCATTTAGCAAACTGCATGTTCTACCAGTTATTTGGGAACCAGTCATGAATGACAAGAAAAAAAAAAAACCCAGAAAGATAGGAGGACAGAGAAAAGCAAAGGTGTTCTACAATCAAGAGAAGAAAGAGTTTCAGGGAGAAGTAGTAATCAAGTAATCAATGTTTACTGAGAAATTGATTAGGATGAAGATGGAGAATTGACTCAGATTTTGCAACATGGAGGTTGTTGGTGACTTTGAGAAAAGCTGATCCAGTGGAGCAGGCTGGGGAATTTAGACCTGTGGAGACCTGGAGCTGATCTGAGTAGCTTAGGGAATAATTGAAGGTGAGGAACCCTACCACAGTTCTTTAATCAGTTCATCACCCACAATGACCGTACCTTTTCTTCTTTCCTCAAGCCTCCACCATAGTCTCCTCACTTTCCTAGGAATATCTCACCTCTGATTTCACTAAGAAAACAGGCACAATCAGAGAACAATATCATCTCTAGCGTGGATTACTGCAATAGCCTACCTGGTGGCCACACTTCCATCCTTGGCCTCAGAGGCCATTCCCCACAGCTGCCAAAGTTATCTTTGAAAAATGTAAGTCAGATCATGTCCCCTGTCTGCTTAAAACTCACCAGTGACTTCCCATCTGACTCAGAGTAAAGCTCAGGTCTACCTTCCAGGCCATCCGGGGCTGTCTGTCTGCCCACTGCCTCTCTGCCTTGTTTTCTGCAAGCTCCCTTACTTTGAGCATTTTGTTCAGCTACACTGGCCTCCCTGCTGTGCCCCAGACTGTGCCAAGCATACTCCTGCCTCAGGAAATCGGCACATTTTGTTCCCTCTGATTGGAACCCTCTTCCTGAAGATAACTACATGCCTTCCTCCCTCGCTCCATTTAGGTCCACTCACAAATGTTCCCTCATCATTAAGGTCTCCTCTGATCACCCTATTAAAAATGGCAGCTCCCTTCTCCAGCTCTGCATAACCCCCTTATCCTAGCTCATTGTTCTCCATAGGGTTTGTCATCTTCTATCTGATGTATTATAAATTCATCTGTTAACATATTTATTGTTCAGCTCCCCTCAATAGAGTATAAACTCCATGAGGACATGAACATTGTCTTATCTGTTTCATTCACTGCTGTGTATCTTGCCCCTCGGATAGCAACTGGCACATAGGAAGCCAGTGTTTGCTCAATGAATGAGTTTTCCAACTAACCAATCTATTAATCAATCGCACATGAACCCATATTATTTGCCTTCCCTCCTTCTCTCTTTACTTTTGCAATGAATCTTGTTCCTTTCACCAACTCAAGGACTTAGCACCTGAAATTACCTCCCACTCTGTAAACAACCAGGCTATAAGATCATCCTAGAAGCTTTCTAGTGTGACCCCATTTCTCTGCTCCACTTTATAATAAAACTCCTTAAAAGAGGAGGTTCCTTACCTCCAGTTATGCCCTAAGCTACTCAGATCAGCTCCAGGTCTCCACAGGTCTAAATTCCCCTGCCTGTTCCACTGGATCAGCTTTTCTCAAGGTCACCAACAACCTCCATGTTGCAAAATCTAAGGGTCAATTCTCAGTCTTCATCCTAATCAAGTTCTCAGTAAACAT